TATTAGAACGACGGGTGCCGAGAAGCAGAGGTGCACCGTCATGCTCGCCGTAACAGCGGACGGGCGGAAGCTGCCCCCATTTATTATTTTTAAGCGGAAGACCCTCCCGAAGGCCAAGTTTCCCCCTGGAATACACGTGCGTGTACAGGAGAAAGGGTGGATGACCGCCGACCTTATGGTCGACTGGGTCAAAACTGTTTGGGGACGACGCGCTGGAGCACTTCTTTACCCGTCGCTGCTGGTTGTCGACAGCTTCCGCGGTCACCTGGTCGACTCCGTTCGGGCGAAGCTGAAGGAGCTGCGGACTGACCTCGCTGTCATTCCAGGCGGTCTGACTTCGATGTTGCAGCCTCTTGACGTATCCTTGAACAAGCCGTTCAAGGATAATGTTCGGAGGCTGTATTCGGAATGGATGGCCGAAGGCGACCACGCAATGACTCCCGGGGGCAAGATAAAGAAGCCGTCGGTGGAGATCCTTTGTTCGTGGGTACTCGAGGCATGGACCATGATTTCGCCAGAAATTATCGTCCGCAGCTTCAAAAAGACTGGGATCTCCAACGCCTTGGACGGGACGGAAGACGACGTGGTCCACGAAAACGACGAGGGAGACCACGCTGAAGCTGGCAATGAGTCCGATGACGCTGCTATGAGCGACGAAGATGGCAGTCTTGATTCGGGCTCCGAGTAGTTCGCCGAAGAGACTAATTTATTAGCTAGTGACCTTTGTCTATGCAAATAAACCTTGATTTGGGTCGAACATGTAGTTTCGTTGTAAAGGTAAGCCTTGTATCAGCACTTTTTGAAGCTTTTAGTTGCTTGTGGAAAAACTGCAATTTGTGGCCGTTTTCTTTTTTTTTTTTCTTGCGCTCGAGGCATGGACCATGATTTCGCCAGAAATTATCGTCCGCAGCTTCAAAAAGACTGGGATCTCCAACGCCTTGGACGGGACGGAAGACGACGTGGTCCACGAAAACGACGAGGGAGACCACGCTGAAGCTGGCAATGAGTCCGATGACGCTGCTATGAGCGACGAAGATGGCAGTCTTGATTCGGGCTCCGAGTAGTTCGCCGAAGAGACTAATTTATTAGCTAGTGACCTTTGTCTGTGCAAATAAACCTTGATTTGGGTCGAACATGTAGTTTCATTGTAAAGGTAAGCCTTGTATCAGCACTTTTTGAAGCTTTTAGTTGCTTGTGGAAAAACTGCAATTTGTGGCCGTTTTCTTTTTTTTTTTTCTTGCGCTGTACCTTTTCGCGGAAAATTTTCCCCGCGTAATTATCGCACCCCCAACTTTCCATGGGTTTTTTGGGAAAAAAAGTGCGAGGATTATGCGAGTAAATACGGTATACAGCATTCGTTCCTTCGCCCTTGTGGTGAAACAATGCAGAATGAATGCTTAAGGGGAGACGCGGGTCGAAAAGTCACGGTTTTCCGGAAAATTTTCACTTTTTTTTTTTTTTTCTGCTGTATTGGCATCCTTGGACTACAATCTATTACTTCTGAAAATATCAAGCTGAAATTCGCACGAGAAATTATCAAAAAATGCTTCCAAGTGGGCAGCGGTGACGCGAGAAATGCGCGAAAGTCGCGAAAAACGGCGAAGTTCGCGTCGTCCTGTCGCGAAAACGACGCGTTGGCCGCCATTTGCAATCTTGCACGCATGCTGCGAAGGCCGTATCCTTCATAATCCACTAGTAGCCAGTCTCGTGCCTTCACGCAGAATAAACAAAAAACGAGAAAAACAACGCGTACGTCACGCGTTTTGAATATCGCGGCACACAGCGCGAGGCCGCCATTGGACGGCGGTGCGCTCCACGCTCCTCCCCCTCCTATCTCTCCGGCAAAACAGCGAAGCCTCGGACGTCGCGATCGAGTTTTTCTGCGTTTCTCTGCATTTTTGCGTCATGGCAAGCCCGAAGAAGTGCAGTTCAGATAATCGAAAGTTCAGAACTCGCCACAAGTATCGAGGGAAACGGCGTCGGACGCTTCGCAAAGCGACAGCAAACGACGATGTCGCCCCCGACCAACGCCCCGACGCTCCGACTTCGGATAGGCCTAACACCGTCACCGAACCCTGCGACAGTGGTTGTGAAATAGCCGCTGCCGTGGAATTCGTCAGTGCATCCCAAAGGAAGATTGGATTCTTCGAGAGTGAACGTAGATCGGCAGATGCTGCTACTGCGAACATGCTGCTTTGCGAAATCGATGCGCTGACGGCACTTGTGGCGGGTGCGCAATGCCCAACCTGCCGCGAACGGAAGCTCGGCATGCGAGAGGCAGCTGGAAAGCGCAAAGGACTTTCGGCATTCCTCGAACTGTGCTGTCAAAATTCTGATTGCCCTGAATCTGCACTTTCGTTCACGCACACGTCGAGACGTACTGCTTCGGCCGGGGACCAAGGAACGAGCGCTCGTTTTGACAGCGGCAGCTCGCGTGACAGCTTTGCTGTAAACGTGAAGGCAGTTCTGGCAGCACGCGCTATAGGCGCAGGCCACGACCAACTTTCACGATTTTGTGCGATTCTCGGTCTTCCGAGCCCGATGCATCACAAGACATTCAACGGCATTTGCAAGAAGCTCCATGGTGCGGCGATGACGGCAGTGAGCAAAAACTTGCACCAGGCACGAAACATCACGAAGGACGCAGTCGGCGGCAGAGATGTGCCAGTCATGTTTGATGGCACCTGGCAGAAAAGAGGTCATAAAAGCCACAATGGAGTGGGCACAGTCGTGTCCCTGGACACGGGGCTCTGCCTCGATTTTGAAGTTCTTTCGAACTACTGCCATGCTTGCAGTATACACAGGGACCTTGGGGAGGATGAAGAGATATGGCGAGCTTTTCATCTTCCAGTTTGCCAAAAAAACACTGACTGCTCATCCCATGCAATGAAACCTGCGGCAGCTGTCAATATATGGCAGAGGACTGTGTCTTATGAAACTCCACTGCGATTCACCAGCTTCCTAAGTGATGGTGACAGCAAGGCCTACACTGCAGTCTGCGAGGCAAATGTATACTGTGACACCCCCATTGACAAAGAAGAGTGCACGAACCACGTTGCAAAGCGCTTGGGAACTGCCCTACGGAAATTGGCAACGCCACTGCCACGAGGCGAAAAACTGAAAGATGCGACAATAATAAAACTACAAACATATTACAAGATCGCCATCACGAGCAACAAGGACAGTGTCCGAAATATGTACACTGCCATATGGGCATCGTATTTTCATTGCTGCTCCAGTGATGGTGCCAGTAGAAACAACTTTTGCCCCGCGGGACCAAATTCGTGGTGCAAACACAAGCGTGCGGAAGCACTGGGGGAGCCTGCACCACGCCACACCCCACTGTTGACGAAGGCTCAAGGATTGGCAATTATGCCTATCTACACTCTTGCTGTACTCTGGTACAACAAAGGCCACAGGGGCTTTGAAGAAGTGCTCGAAGGCATTGGAATTCTCCCCTCACAAGATCTGGCCACACATGGCGACCACTGTGACGTCATGCGCATCAGGAAGATGAACCTGAAGCAAACTGCAGAAGCGAGGGCACACCGTCGCAACACAGCGAAGAGAGCTCGTGTTGAGGACACTGACCGCAAGAGCCGTGAAGGACCAAGCTATGGTGCAGGGGACTTCTAGACACTTGCAGTGCATTCAAGGCAAGGTACTTTTCATTGTGGCCCAATTTGATGCAAAAAGAATGATTTCCTAATAAATGCCAACTTTGCGAACTTTCAAACTTGTTTTTCTCATTTTCATTTCTTCTGACAGTTTCACGTTTTCTGGGCAGCCTTTTAGAAACTTATATTCATTGTATACTAAGGAAACTTGGCACACATATTCTTCAACACATGCAGAATGCAAATATCTACTCTAAATTGCAATGCCTACCAGCATTAGTTGTGAAAATATTAGCTTATTGTTTCAAGGGAGATTGAAAATAATAAGTCATTCAATACAATTTTTTTTTCTTGGTTCCAATATTTCTGTGACATATCTATATAGATATTTGCACTTTTCAATCTACCAAGAGTCAAATAAGATTACACACAGTGCTTTTACTGAAAGTTTAGTACATAAAAGAGTGCCCGCAAAAAATGTAACCTTTTGCTATTGTTTATGGCATAACTCAATAATTATAGCAGCTACACAAAAAATGATTGCATATTTGAAATCTGCATGAAAAACTATACTAATAACAAACTTTTCAAGTCTCTATTACTAGAAATAAAAAAAAAAAACTTCTTCGAGGAGCGTCTCCCCTTAACTACCTCTGCGAGGACACATTTTACTTTCTTGTTATACCGATTCTCAAAGTTTGTTCTACCGATTAAACACGTTTTTTTTTTTTCATTTGCAAAAATTTTATTTTTGACTGCAGCATAGACCACTAATAACATAAGTCGCCGACGTTGTGAATATCCGCACTACAGCTGGAACAGCCTTCTTCATAGGCTACGCTAGCGCAAAACATGCTGAGCATGCAGACTCGTGTGTCGGAGAATCGAGGCATGCGATGCGGTGTGCTTACGAGCATTTAAACTTAACAAAGATCAACAGGACGGCTTACGTGTGTACCTAAGCCAGTTGTTGCCTTGCCTACTAATGGCTATATTACCGTAAAGGTGGCACTAGTCGTGCACCACTTTTTTCAATAAAAAATGGCGTGTTTTTCAAAATCTTCGAGCTTAAGTCTACCCTGGAGTTTGATGCAAAGAAATTTAAAAATAATTATCAGCCCAGATTTGAATAAATATGTTATATCAGGGGTAATGAGGGGACATACAAAACTAAAACTACAATAGTAAGACATTGTGTAAGATGGTCTTTGCATTAGGTTGATGTAGATATGTCACTCAAGAGCAGCACATTGCTATGGAGGACCGGGAAAGCAATTCTCTTGTCTCTCTTTTCATTTCTTAAGTGAACCACATTCAATACAAGATGGATCCAATGCTATCAATCATGCCATTAATCTAGTATGACACTCCAAAGAGACATACCATGGATAGCTTTAGATTGGCATCAGTGACGAATGTGTCACCCGAGGCACAATCAACGCCGAAGACAGCACAGATGTCCCCGGCAAAGGCTTCCCCGACGTCCTCCATCTGAGAAGCGTGCATGCGCACCACACGCGGTACCCTGACCTTGCGGCCAGTGCGCGTGTTCCACAGGGTGTCGCCCTTGCGCAGGTGTCCCTGGTACACCCGCAGGTAAGTCAGTTGGCCAAAGCGACCCGCCTGCACGACAACAAAAGCATTCTCATTGAAGGTTCCCTAGTTGCCACATTTCAATACAGTGCTGGTTAAGCCAGTTTATCATTCAGAGAAAATTCTAGAGCTGTCCTGGAGCAGACAAAATGGTGTTTCAGATCACTTGGAGCAGCACAGCTGTGCAAATGTATGCTACACATTTGAATACAGTGTGCAAACAGGAAAGCAAGGACAACAGCCATGCCATTCTTCACAACAAAGACTGTTGTACACTGTTACCACAACTATGTGTATTGCGTTAAAGACAAGGGCAAAATATGATTATCACAAACATCAGGCATCCACTTATCAGACCTATTCCTAAAACCTGCAGCCTAAAAAAAAAATCCTTGCAAATAAGAACCTTCCTTTTGCAACAGCCAACATGCACAGTACATTCTGCATTAAGTGACCTACAACAATACTTTCGTGCAAAACACAACTGCTAGAGCCAACAGAAGGAGGCAAGTGATTTGAAAGACTGCACCAATAATCGAAGGTTTGAAAGACAGCCAGGTGCAATACAGCATAGAAAAATTATCTTTGGAAAACAAGTCCAACCTGCAAGGGTTGAACACAAGTCCAACCTGCAAGGGTTGAACTTCTTTGAGCAATATACTTTGAGAATCTGGTGCAGTCTTCTCGCAGAGAAAAACGAGAGAGGAGACGCATGAACAGAAACAAAACAAAATAAATAATATGAAGATATACACGGAATACTAAAAAAGCAAACATGCTGCAGTTCTATGAAAGTTAAAGCATTTACACTTTAATACTCACTGGAGAAAAAGTAAATTTGATATCTAAAGTATCACCTCGTGAGATATTTGTTTCAATGTCAGAGTACTTAAAAATTAGTGCTACTGTCAAACACACTTGTAACAATGCTGTTTTTATCAATGTATCACATTAAACAATGAGCAGCCACTGCAGTGCAAACTTATTTTTTGTAAGTAAGCAACTCAAGATATACATACTGTGCTCGTCATGCAAGCTGTGCACTCTAAGACTCACCTCCAGCTTAAAGGCCAGAGCAACCAGGGGGTGGCTGTCATCGCGGGATGGGTTCATGACGATTTTCTTGATGTTGTTACTGCAGGAGGAAAAGACACAGACTTGATGCACTTTAAAAACATTTTCGACATAAGTGATTGTGAAGCCATGTTAATGAGAACACACAGACAACACTGCCAAGAAAATTATAGGGGATGTTGTTAGCAGTGAACGTAATGTAGATGTGAAGACAGAGAATCGGGCGAAATGATTACTTGCCGTTAACAGTGACCGAACCTGCGACCTTCGAATAACACTACTGATGTTCTATCAACAGCTAACATGATGGCCATCCCCCGTCACCCTTGTCCTCGTTATCTGGTATAAAAAGAGGGGGGGGGAGCAAGGTCATATAACAGCCCAACCAGCCGCCAGCATTTATAATTAAAAACAGAAGTGCCAGCCATGCATAAATAATATTTTTCGTAAGTATTACCAATGAAGCTAAACCTGCTTATAACGAACCTCCATATAATGAATTCCTGGATGTAACAAAGTTTTTCTGTTCCCCGCCATTGCCCCGTAGAAGTACATGTATTTGCGACCTCTTTGTAACAAAGTAACAGCGGGAGACAACCTTGATATAACAAATTTTTCCCACGGACAGTCTAGGAATTTCGCTCTGCATTTTGGTACGAGCATGCATCTTCCGCGGCTGCCCCGCCACCGAGGAGCCGCTGACGAAGCGCGAAGCGGCGGCGGCGTGCACAGGGCACCAGGCGAGAGCGAGCGCCTATTATTGTGTGTGGGTGAGTGCGAGGCCGGTCTGCAATCCCTGAGCCGGCATTGCCATCATTCTCGCAGCCGTGGGCACATGCGCCGGTGTGCCCCCCCCCCCCACTCTTAAAAAAAAAGACTACTTTTGTGCGTTGGCACTGCCACGCTTTTAGTTTGCATTGCATATGTGAGGCCACACTGCATATGAAGGGTGCTTTACCAAATAGTTTTCAGCAGTACTCGTGTCTATGTCTACGTCGTTTGCTCTTCGTTTTGAATACCATGCGTGCATGCATAGTTTCATTGCATGCTCATGGTGTGGCCCCCTGCTGACATTCTGCATAGCTCTTTTTTCTTATTCAATTATATGGACAGTCTCGGCTGGTTGTTTGCCACGGCCGCCCTCATTCACCGTGTATGTATACGTATCTATATATATGAAAACGCAAGAAAGAAAAAAAAACGCCGCCAGCTCTCAGCGCCCAGCTTGTCATGATGCGCTGACACGCCATCTCTCACGCGTGCGTTGCCCTGCTATTTTGGAGGGGGGGGAGAAGTTAGATGCTTGTGCGTGCGTTTATCCTTCGGTGGTGAGAGTCACGCGCCTACGACTTTGACGAGAACGATTGCGTTTAGTTGCCGAGCACACAAAGATCACTTCGCTCGCTGAACAGGGGCCATTTGCTAATGAGTGCGCAAACGTTCGCAAACAGAGTGCACTTTTCACACACGAAGAAATATCAACTGGTGCACTTGGTAGTTCGCAGTCATAGCTAAACCTGTGATTACGTTTCGTGCCTCGTTTTTGTTTCAACACCGCATTAAGTGTCAAGCGGTAAATGTTGTTCACTCCCGTCCTGTGTATGTTGTTTTTCTGCGTCATTTGAGTGTGAGCACTGCACTGCACTTTTCGATCTGCTTGCCGTTCTCAGCGTTACATTTCAATTCGTTGCTATCGCACTCATTGCTTCGTCTTTGCAACGAAACTGTGACTTTTCTTTGCTTAATTTTGGACAACCGTGTCGCCCCCCCCCGAGAGCATGTCAGATTAGGCATTCATAGACACTCTCCAAGACCACGGTGACAATGGGTCTTAGGAGGTTGACTCGTCACGCGCTTCCATCTTGCGCCGTACCGCGAACTTGCAGGCTCGTAGCGTTTGCGATTAGCCAATTAGTTTTGGCAACACGACGACCTGTTGAATGCAATAAATGCGATATAAAAAAGTTGTAATGTTATAAGAAGTAAGGCTGGCAGCGAACTTTTTTGGACCTGATATCGCGGAATTTCTACAAAACACTGATGTGAGCAAATACGGCTGCTCGAAGGAGAAGTGCTCTTTTCACACAGTCCCTTTGCGTTGAAACCGCACTGATACTCAACGAGATAGCAAGCGTGCCAGCAGTTGCGGCCACTTTTAAAATCCAAGTTCATTATTGATACTCGAGAGATATCCCCCCCCCCCCTCATCGCGTTGCTTCATGCTCGTTCAAGACAGGTGGTTTACTTTTTGTTTGAGCGTTTGACGGCAGTTCGAACACACAGGTGATGTTATCTTATGCACTTTCCAGGCAATAAGAATGGGCCGCCTCGTTCGATTTCTGCTTCAGCAGCGCTAGCACACTTCTACCTGCTCGTGAAAATTACGATGCAGTAAGGACACGTTATCGATATGGACTTGTCACAAAACCGTGCGATGACAGCAAAAACCTGCCGAGAGTGTCCACATAATTGCTATCGCAATAACAATGCAGTTTTTTACTGTAAAATAAGTGTTTTGGGTTTGCGCTGCTTTCAGTCCTTTTCTTGTTCAATTTGCACGTCTATTTTTCGTATTTTCGCACCGAACCTGCATATAACGAAGCCCTCTTTATAACAATTTTTTCGGGAATTTGTCAATTTTGTTATATCCAGGTTTAACTGTACTGGCAAGCAAACAAGTGCTGTATGAAAGAATTTCGTAAAGTACCAAAGATTCTGAATCACCACAATGGAAATATTGAGGACATGTTAAGGCATGCAGAAGTAAACCTGCATTCTACTGCCCACAAAACAGCTTGCTGACATTCAAAGTGCAAGATTTGTCAATACCTTCAAGATGGCAGGATAATTAAAAGCACCTCAAGTGATTACGCCCATAATATTGTTACCACATGTGTAATTTAGGTATGTGCACCTGTGTAGCAGGGAACATGATGGTGGCAGAAGAAGAGGACGTTCGGTTGGTGGCAAGAGCTCGCTGCTCCGCGTTCACTGCTGTATACCGTCGAGTCGACCAGTCGACCGTTATGTCGGCTCTGAATAAGCCCCTCTCATGGACATAACAGAGTGGTGGAGGTGCTGGGTACGGCACGTCGACGTACCACAGAGCCACAGCTGATTGGAGTTCGCCGGAGCCGTCATCTTGCCGGTCTGCCGCCGACAACAGTCGTCATGACCCAGAGCGAAGGTCAAGAATCAACCGCCTCGACCTCACGCAGGTCTAAGCTGGCTACACCTAGGCATCACTACATGGAGCCCCGCCCGTTCGCGGGAATGGCAGGAGAAGATGTGGACGCGTGGCTAACGCACTACAAAAGGGTGAGCCGGTACAACCACTGGAACTCTATCGATCAGCTGGAAAACGTCGCGCTGTTTCTCATGGACACTGCCCTGATGTGGTATGAAAACCACGAAGAGTCCTTGACAACATGGGCTCTTTTTGCTCAAGAACTGAAGAAGTGTTTTGGTGACTCTGACTCAAAAAAGAAAAGCACGGAGCGGACTCTTGCTGGAAGAGCCCAGACTCCTGGAGAAACCTGTACTGCTTATATAGAGGACATTTTTAAGCTTTGCAAGATTATAAACCCGCAAATGTCTGAAGAAACAGGGTCGGACACCTCTTGAAAGGCATAGCGGAAGACGTTTACAATTTTCTGATAGGCAGGGATAACCTCACCTCTGCTTCCGACGTCCAACATCACTGCCGCACGTTTGAAAAATTGAAGACTCGTCCCATCACCCCGAAATTTAATAGGCTGGCAAATGGGACAACGGTCGCCTGCGTTGACGTGAACCCGCCCACCGACCTTGCCGCTACTATTCGGGCAATTGTGTGTGAAGAGCTGTTTGAAAAGTTGAAGACTCGTCCCATCGCCCCGAAATTTAGTAGGCTGGCAAATGTGACAACAGTCGCCAGCGTCGGCGTGAACCCACCCACCGACCTTGCCGCTACTATTCGGGCAATTGTGCGTGAAGAGCTGCAGCGACAAGGTGGTAGGGTTGACGAAACCATTCCTCATCCACCTGGCAATCCACCCTACTACACAGCGACGCCATTAGCTCCTTTGCCAGCATTGATATGTGTGGCAGACATCAGCGAAACTGGAAATCCGCGGCCACGTCGTGACTCATTCGCGGCCGACCAGCGATGTGGCCAACGCCTTTGTCACGGCCCCGCCACACAGAGGTGGGCAGCCCCGCTCAGCAAGCTCGTGACCGACCCTTCACAGCTGAGCGGTCTCAGCATTGGTTCGGCGAGCGTCCTCTACCAGTCTGCTACAACTGTGGCTTTGAAGAATACATTGCCAGGTATTGCAACTACTGGCAGCCGCCAAGATACAAACGATCACCGAGATTTAACCGTTCTGGCGTTACCCGAGCACCAACATTCCCGGGAAGCGCGTCTTACGAGATCCCAGGACCGCTACGAAACCAATCTCCGGCTTCTGACCGCAGTGTGACACCACCACCTGCCCCTTGCGCCAACCGATCACAGTCTCCTCGGCGCTGCCACTCCTCGCCTCCTACAGAAAACTAGCCGGCGTGGCCATTGGAGGTGAGGTCGCCGGACAGTCTTCGATTTCAACAGATATACCTCCGTTAGCTTCAATGCTTAGAAATAAGGTTCGAGTGCTTATCGATGGCATACCAACAATGGTGTTCGTGGACACAGGTGCAACCGTGTCAGTGATGAGTTTAGTTTTCACACGCTTTCTTGGACGAAAGGTTATGTTTCGTTGGGGCCGTCCTGATACGTTTCGTGGAGTGAGCGGAGAGGTGTTACAACCTGTTGGTGTCTGCACTGTGACTGTTAGTTTGGCGTGCCAGAACTTTGTCGCAGAGTTTGCTGTTCTCCCTCATACTACGCATGACGTCATTTTGGGACTCGATTTCTTGAAGCTATGTGGTGCTACTGTCGACTGGACAAATTACAATAGATTCCGATATCCCAGTTGCGTTTATAGAAAACTCACCCTCTCAAGAAAGTGCTCTTTGCACGTCTGTGGATACAACTATGTTGCCGTTGTCTGCAAAATGTGTCCCTGTTGTCTGTTCACCTGC